AGACTCCTATTGATTACCACAGCCTTTGAGTCAGACTATTGATGAGCGTAACTCTAAGGCCTGGCGCTCATTACAAAAGTTGCATAGATGTAACTAAATTGTTTTGAAAGTGATCTCATTCCAATGCACCCAAATGGATTTAAGCCTCACTTAAATCTATGCTTTAAGCGGGGGTTTGAACCCTACTATCAGTGCACTTAAGTGAGGGTAAAGTGGTGAAATAATAGTTTTAAGTGAAGTTTAATCCAGTTTAAGTGCATCTACATTAGGAACTTGCCCCACTTAACCTCAGTCACTTTGAAATCAATTTAGTTACACCAGTGCAACTTTTCTAATCTAGACAAGCCCATAGAATCAGGTTTCCTGTGCAAATAGTCATGTAGATAAACTCAGCATTAACTTTTAATGGATATTCTCTGACATATAGAGGCCCAATCCTGTAAAAGTGCAGATGAGTCACTTTACCCACCCATTGGTATAACTGGAACTACTTGTGTGAGTCAAATTATTTGTATGTGTAAATGTTTGCAGGAGCAGGTCCTTAATTTCCTCTTTCTGTGATTATTTCCACCGGTAAAGTCCTTTGCTAAGATATTTGTGGGGACCAGACACAATGGGGTGCAAACTCAGCTGATGCAGATTCAATTTTTGATGCATTCAAGTGAATGTTAGTGGAAGTTATTTTGAGGGATTTTCCCAGCTCCAGAACTAAGCCGTACTTTTAATTGCTGTTTTTATACTTTTCCTGTTGTATTTCTTTAATAAAAACTACTGGGTTAACTAGATTCCTAAGCTCCTGGGGCTTCCATCTCTTCACAAACAAGATGAGAAATGCGAATTTCCTTAGCCAGTGAGTCGTCTGCTATTTAATTATTCATGTGAGTTATTATCGATATTTGCCTGTCATGTAGCACTTTTAGTTGCAAACCTTTCACAGCCATTAACCACTTGCTGAGCCGGGTTTAACTCATGCTGATCCAAATGGATTAGTTGTTCGTCGAGAGTAAAGAGACAGAGAAAGATGCATGAGACAAAGGGGAAAGGGCCTGACATACAGGTCTGTACTGTGGACCCCTGGTTCACCTGGGTAAGTCGTTAGTCATATGAGTAAAGTTCCGTGGAAGACAATGGGGCTTTTCGATGAGTGAGTGAACTTCAGTGGGAACCCAGAGCTCACTATCTGCCCCACAGAAGAGATGCAGACAATACGGCTTAAGGCAGGGTGGCAAGAGAAAATCAGATAGAGACTGAAAGTGACAGAACAGGACTTCAAAAGATGAGCAAGAGAGAGAAATTGGGTAAAGTGACAGAAAAAGGTAGAATTATTGATCATTAACAATGTGCATTCAGGCAGCGGCAGCTTTCAACACAGTGTGTGGACAGCACGCTTTACAAACATGAATGCATCAAGCTTCACATCCTGTGCTGTTGGCTAAAGATTAGCGTCTCCATTTTTTGTTTGTTTGGTTTTTGTTAAGGTGCCCAAATGGGAGCTGTTGGGTGCTTAGCTGTATTGAAAATCCAGCCCTAGCTGTTAAAATATGGACTTAACTGGCTTTATTTAGACCCCCCCATTTGAAAATTTGGCCATGAGTGAGTTGCCCAAGGTCACGTACTTAGTTCATGGGAGAAATAAGAATAGGACCTAAGAATCCTGCCTCCTACCCTAAGTAAAGGGGCAACAAGACAGAAGAGAGAAGAAAGAGTGAGATGTGGAAAGAAGGAAAAGAGGGAGGGGTAAGATGGCCAGAGGGAGATGGAGTGTGGCGGGTTGTGGGTGGGGGGGGAGGAGAGATGGAAACAGGAGACTAGGGTCATTGAGATGACTGGAGTAGAGAGAATACAAAAGAACTGGGTCGGGGAAAGTAAAGAAGGCCAATGGGAAATAGAGTGATTGTCCGTCTTGGAAAAAGACAATAGCAGGTGAAATTAATGCGAACAAAGAAGCCATTTGCCTGGTGACACATATTTCCAGAGAAAGATTTTCTGAAGAGCATTGTAGCTGATCATTATATGGGTGTAAGCAGCCTACTGCTCTGACTCATCACACCACCCCAAACCAGTGGGTGCCACAGGAGCCCGATGACGAAGGATGTCTGCAGAGGTGGAATTGCACTGGGCATGAGCATTGTCATGATTCCTGCATCCAACACACTCAGCAGAGAGCTGGAAAGAGGACTGAAATGAGTGTATGTGTCTATATAGCGACACTGAGACTGTACCAGAGAGAACTCCTATTTAGTGAAAGCTTTTCAGACTCAATATTTTGCAAACAGCATCTTACAGGGGCTGAATTACTGCTGTTGGCTACAGACATGTTTATTAAAGAGGCCTAGCAGAGGTTAATCACCTGTCAGTTGAAGCCATCATATCAATGGGATATGTGCCCTGGCTCTTTGAAATGCTGCGCCATACTCTCAGTTGAAGTTTCAGGCCTGAACATCTTGTCTCTATGTGTAATGAGGGCATGACACACAGAGTGCCACATGGTCTTTATTTCCTAGTCCCAGTCACCTGCCCTGGGTCAATTACAAAAAAAAAAAAAAAAAGGAATACCCTATTCACACACAGGAGAAGTGCATCTCACTCTTGGGGCTGCTAACATACATTAATGAAGCAGAGAGCATTCGGGGGTCGGGAGGGCAGGGAGAGTCTTTTTCACTCAGGTCTCGGCTGCAATGCTAAATCACGTTCCATAGGAGCTGGACTTGACAGGGGCTTCGGGCTTTGGAAAGGATTTTTACCAACCTAATAGGATCAACTCCTGCAATTTTGTTGCGAGTCACAGGATGTTTGGTGTTTTTGCTAAAGCTGCAATTCCTGAAGTTAAGTGAGTACAAGATAATCCCAGTTTTCACTGAAAGGCAGAAGTACATTTCTAGCCCTCATGACTGTGGCTAAAAGCTTGAAAACATGATCCAAATGAACCTGGAAGACTCAAAAGCCAGAATGCAAAGAAAAAGAACCCTATATATATTATTTTTGAGACGATTTCACAATTTTGGGGAGTGCCACTCATGATTTTTGAATGCTGAAGCCTGACAATACTTGGGGATGGGTTGAAAAATGCCTGTTGTAGTTTTTTTAACATCTCAACACCGTAAAAATGTGTACAGCATGATTTATTTTCAAACCATCCATATGGATTTTGTAAGAGTCCTCTTTCCATTCGTCCACCCTGTTCCTTCGTGAGTGCTGCCTCATGGCGAGAGCATTCCCACAATGCTTTCTGCTGTTTGAAAGGTACTTGCACTCAGCTTTCTTGTTTGCAGGATGGTCCTGCAGTCCAGCAGGAATACATATGAAGCGGTGAGAAGTGACAGGAGGGGAAAGATAAGAAGATTCTCACACCCAAGCAATTTGCTGTAGGACAGGAGGAATCAGGCAAGAATCGCTGACAGATATCCTGGGTCACTGCAGAGGAGTCTCATCTGCAGAGGAGTCTCAACCAACCCCAAGTGTGTATTTGGAGAAGAAATGTTCTCTTTCCTATTAATTATGGAGCTTTATGTAGAGTGGTGTGAGGGGTAAGGCTGGGAATAAGTGGATGAAACTGATCAAAGGGAAATCTAGAGTAGATGTCATGAAATATTTAAGATCTATTCAACTACAAGAGCCCCCCAAAGAAAGTGGTGAAATCCCATCCTTGGGGTAATTTAAAACAGGACTGGACAAAACAATGAAGAATATGCTGCAGGGAAGAAGCAAGGGAGGGTTGCGGGTAGTAGACAAGCTGGGACATCACTGGTTTCTTTCATCTCCAGGGTCTAGGATTCTCCGAATAACAACTGGAATAACAGCTCTTGCTGTGAAACAACCATCCATCCTGCAGTTGCTTTGATTGCAGAAAAAGGGAAGAGCTGTTGACGACACAAAAGAGTTAATGTGTTAAGTGCATGAACCAAAGCACACTTAAGTCAGTAGGAGTCTTTTCATTAATTTCACTGGGCTTTGGACCAGACATGGGTTCCGCTATGACATAGGTCACAAGTGACATGAGTTTTGAGGGTCTCAGTCTCATTCTAGCCAGGAATTGTTTACATCACAAATCCAGTTTGGCATGATTGGATATTGCTGCTCAAGAGAAGTCAGGAACTGGAAGAGCAGAGGGCGCTGCCGATTAGGATTCAGGTGCATTGGCAGACCTGTGGAGAGAAGACCAAGATAGGAATAGTAGGGGAAGCTGCAAGTTCAAAATAACAGACATGGAGGTGCTCTGATTCCATGGAGAAAAGGGCCGTAGAAATGCATAGGCAGATTAGCTGCAAAAAGGAAGCAAAATAAATAATTTGTGTAACATGAACAAATACAACACATGTGATGCTGAGTAATAATCCACCATGTTCAGACATATCTGTAGCTCAGAACTACAGAGGCGGGGAGGGTGTTCATTAAGTACGGGCCCATGTGGAGAGTTCTAGTTTTACTGATACTTGTGCTGAGAAGTGGAGTCATAAACCCAGAAACCACAGCTCTGATCCCCAAATGGGCTCTCTCACACCGTAATGAGGCAAAAACCAGCCCTGGGTTGGAAAGGGAATCCCTTCAAAGTGAGATAAAGAAGGGTGAATGGCAGAAACTGAAAAGGCCGCAAAGCAGGGCGCAGCTGAGGCCTCCAAACCAAAACCAAAGTGGTGGTGAGAGAGATGAGATGTAGTGAGTGAAAAGGGAAGTGAAAAGACAAGAGGGATGGGACTAGTGGGCAGTGACTGAGAAAGAGTTTGAGTTGTGGCTTTCACTTGCTTGGATTCCTTCTACAAGCAATGCTTGTCCCTGGAGGAGAGACTGGATTATCAACTAGTGGTTGGCTGTGGTGTGGCAGGAGGCAGGTTATTGGACTAGAAGGACAACTATTCAGCGCTGGTGTGGTGGCTCCTATGGGCTATGGAGCTGTTAGATGGGCAGGTTGGGGGAGGGAGATGGGCTGAGCGGGGGTGTTGCGTGGGCAGGCTTGGCTGACGCCTTCAGCACATTTCCTCTCCTCCTCCCCTGATAAAGGGCCGCCCTGGGGGAAGTGCAGAGAGCTGGAGCCCCCGAGGGACAGACACAGCTTGACAGACTGTATCTCCCTCTGACACAGCCCCCAGGGCTCTGTGAATTCACACTTGGGCGGCATTTGTCTAAATCTCCGGACAATAAAGGAATTTTGAATCTGACTCGGACATGATGCGAGGAAGCTCAGACAGACACCCAGATGCTGCCTGCTCCCCTCCCCAGTGCTTTGACCCCTTGACCAAGGGATGTGTGAGGTGCACAGAACTGCCTGGACACGCCGAGGAGGACACAAGTAAGAGGAGAGCGGCAGTCCCTGGGTTCCCTGGAGGGGGATCAGGCCCCCTCTTGAAGGGAAAGATTCCAGGGACTGAAGGAATGAGAGAGAGAAGGTGGGGATGGGTTCAGGAAGGCAGGGGAGCTTCATCCCGAGCGGTGTGGGGAAAAGAAAAACAAAGGAATGGGACAGTCACCAGCAGCCAGGGAAGGGGAGGAGGGAGAGACAGAAAGGTGAATGAGACCCCAACAGCTAGGGAGAGAGAGAGATTTCAACCCACCCCAGCGATGGAAAAGACAGGCAATATGAGAGGTGCCCCATCCGCACTCTGGGTGAAATAATGATCGTTTAGAAGAGAGAAGGTGGGGGACGTGGACTATTACTTCCCTGTGTAAGGGGGTCTGAATGGGAAGATGTTGGGAATTTGTGAGGGAATTTGCCCCACATTTGATGAAAATTTTGGGATTATCCACTGTGTTTTAACTCCCCTGAGACCACCCAGGCTTGCCGTCCTGAAGCCTGCACAGTAGCTCCCCTTGGGCTGACCACGGCCTATCTTGCTTTAATTCTCTCCACAGCATGCCACAACAGCGTAGCCCCCACTTCAACCCAAGCACCAGCAGCTGGCCCAGGTTTGATCTTTGGGATCCCTGCTTTAGTGGGGCTAGTCCTGGTCCTGGCTGCACTCTGTGGCTTGCTGACCTGTCAAGTGAGGAGGAGGCGGCAGAGGAAGAGGAGGAGCCCCAATGAAAAGCCCAAGGGTAGGTGTCTTTGTTTCATAGATCTGAAGGGCAGAAGGGATCATTGGATCATCTAGTCTGACCTCCAGTGTAACACAGGCCAGAGAATTTCACCCAGTGATTCCTTCATCAAGTCCCACCCATGGGTCTGAACCTGACCCCATCTTTTGGATAGACATTCAGACTAAGTGATGGAGAATCTACCACAGCCCTTGAGAATCTGTTCCAATCACTTAAAGTGTTGTGCCTCATTTCCAGTTTGGACTCTGCTGACTTCAACTTCTAGCCGCTGGCTCTTGTGATGCTTTTGCCTGCTAGATTACTGAGCCCTCTAGCATCAGACCCCTTCTTCCTCTGTAGGCACTTTCGGCCATGATTAAACCACCTCTTACTCTTCTCTTCCATAACTAAATAGATTGAGTTCCTTTAGTCTTTGTAAGGCAACGAGGCCTCCCAGGGCGCCGAGCGAGATGAAACAGACCAAAATACTTGTCCCAGCTCTTCTCCAGAAGCCCCACTAGCTTCTGCAGAAGCTCTCAAGAAAAAAAAAAAAGTGAAATTTTCCAAGTGGCCCCATCTCAGCTCCATTTGTGCACTTGAAGCTTTATGGACACAAACACTTCCCCCCTTATTTTGAGCATATCCATCTGTACGCACAGGTGATAGATGCTCGCAGAGGTTGGTACAAATGAGTACAATGCCCAGAATGCATTTGCTTTCAGGCTAAAGAGCACACAACCATTTGGGGAAAAGTTCTGCAGTAATGCAGTAGGGCTCCACTGGAATTATTCTAAAATACTGCATCACTGAACAGAGAATGAGATCCTTTCTGTAGGCTTTTTTTACCTGCTTTATAGAATTTTGCTGCAGAGCTATAATGCTCCATTAGATTTTATAAGTTGATTCATAAAAACTATGGAGAAGTTACCATTTTGTATTCAATTCTGCAGATTTTTTCCCCAAGTTAGAAATATACACCCAGTTGTTCATGCTTGCAAAGTTGTGCTTTTAATCCTAAACTAATAATTAAATGGCAAAAAAGTTCATTAACACAGATGGTGGCCTGGCGATAGCTCATGCCATTCCAGAACATAGAGTTCAGCAAAACTCAAACTTCTGGAAACCACAAAATATAGAGTTCAGGTAAATACCCACACCACTTTACTTCTGCCCCCAGGAGCTGGCAATAGCCACTGGAAATTATCTGCGTGTAGAGGCGGATTTACAGTGAAAAACAGATTGCTCTGGCACGGGCCCCACAACGATGGGGGCCCCACGGCTGGGCAGCTGCGGGGACAGAAGCTTGGTCCTGCCGACTCCTGGGGCTCCTGCTGCAGGCTCCGCACCCACCGGCAGCCAAGATCTCCCCTCCCCTGCCTCCTCCCCTGAGTGTGCCACGTTTGCGCCCCTCCCTGCACTTCCCCCGCCGCCAAACAGCTGTTTGCTGGTGCTCAGGTCGCTCCAGAAGGGAGCGGGAGGAGCGGGGCCGCAGCGCACTTGGGGAAGGAGGCGGAGAAGAGGCAGGGGTGGGGCCTTGGGGAAGGGGGTGGAATCGGGGCAGGGCGGAGCAAAGGCTCCTACACATACCCCCCCCGCCCAGCTCCCTGCTGTGAGCCACTCAGGGCAGGGGGCTGGGTGCACCCCCATGACCCCAGCCCACACCCCCAGTCTTGACTCCTGCACCCCCTCACATACCCCCAACCCCCTGCCCTCCCTGACTCCTGCACCCCCACACACATCTCCCCCCCACCCTGACCACCAAACGGGCACTTCTGCACCCCCCAACACACATTCCCACCTGCACCCCTCGCACTAAACGGGAGCTGCCCCAGGTAAGCGCTCCACACCCCAAGCCCCTTCCCCAGCCCTGAGCCCCCTCCTGCACCCTAACTCCTGGCCAGACCCTACACCCCAACCCCCAGCCCACTCCTGCACCCTAACTCCCTTCCAGACCCTGCAACCCCAGCCCTACGCCCCCTCCTGCACCATAAGTCATGGCCAGACCCCGCACCCCAATGTTTTTTTACATTTTTTTAATAAAGAGCTCTTATCCAAAGCACTTTCCAATAGTTAGCTAATGGTACAAAAAATATTTGGAAAGATCATTAAGTGGTCCGCTGAGACCCTCAGCGATTTTCAGGTGGTCTTTGTGGAAAAATAAGTTAGACTACCAAAACAATCAAGGTACCTCTCTTTATTTTCATTTACCTCCTATTACTTATAGGAGGAGGATGAAGAGAAAAAGAACGAAAAATAGTTGGGGAGGGGGAGATAAGAGAGAATGTTCTTTTTCTTGGCTGGGTCCCAAGGAGGGGCCCCAAAAATGGAGCTGAGCACAGGGCCCCACTAATTCTAAATCTGCTACTGTCTGCATGCGCTCCAGCTGCATTCACTGTGCTAGTTGGAGCCGTATTGAATGGTAGAGGAATATGTTGGAGCAGCTTGGAGGAGCTGTAATTGTGATATGAGGAGGTCTGGGTCTGAGTCCCCCAGGGCATGATCAAAGGAAGAGGTGCACACGTGTACTTTGAGGGTCCCGTCAGCATCATTTCAGCACAGAATTGCATTGGTCATGTCAGTAGCAGGACACTGGGGTCTTCTTGCCATGGGTATCATCGGTAGTGAGGTGGGATGTGAGAGCTATTCGTGGATTTAATGATGGGTATGGGAAAGTACAGGTTTGGTGGTCTCCTGTGTGCAGGTGTGAAGGGGTTGTAGAAGGGTATGGAGTGGTTATTCAGTTTTTCAAGTATCGTATTAGGTCAGGGGAGTAAGCTCCGTGTTGGAGCATAGGGCAGGGGCAGGTAGCCCCTGTCCAGTACAGTAAAAAGACAGCGCAAATGTGTGTGTTATGGTCGTATTGGGGCATCACTCAAAGAGGGCGAAGATACGGTTGTCTGGGTGTTTACCTGAACTCTAGTTCCTGGTTTTCTCAAGTCTGAGTTTTGCTGAACTCAATATGCTGGAAGGGCACGAGCTATCACTGGGCAACCTGCACTCTGGGGCAATGTTTTTTCCCCGTTTAATTTCCTAGATTTTTAAACAGAAAGAGAAATGTTTGTTAGTAGGAGTTAGTGGCCATTTAGACAGGTGTAGTTCTCCCCTAGGTTTGCAGTTGATCTGCTACTGTGGCAAGGTAATAACTAAAAGACCTAGATTTTATATTGTACAATTCATCAGTAGCTCTCAGACAACTTTACATCCTTATCCCCATTCTACAGGTGGGAAACTGATTTGCCAGGGTCACCCAGCAGGCCAGTGGCAGAGCTAGGAACAGTCTAAATACAGTGGTGTTTCCACTAAGCCAGTGGTTCTCAACCTTTCTGGGCTCAGAACCCATTTGTAGGTGTTGACGTCCTGCCACGTCCCAGTAAACAGTCTGGGGGTGGAAGCCCTGCGGTGGTCTCGTTTGGGTCCTGGCCCCCTGGTGGGTGGCAGCTCTTCTGCTGTTGGGCTGGCTGGGCTTGGCTCTCCGCTCCCGGCATTGCTACCTCCGGGGTTGCAGCGCTGCTCAGGTTTGGCCCCGCCCCCTGACTGGACCAGAGTAGAGTGAGTAGAGTTCTGACCTGGCTCATGGGGTCACAGTGCGACTCACTCAAATTTGGCTTATGGAGGCTCTCGTCCTCATGACAGCTGGACCAAACCCGAGTGGCACTGCGACCCCACAGATTGTAGTTCCTGGAGCAGGGAGGCGAGCCCAACCAGCCCTGTGGGACAGGAGCCACAGGAGCTGCCATGCGACCAACCCTTTGAAACATCTCCCAATTTTGGGAAACCCTGCACTAGGCCACCTGGTTGCTATGCAGTTCCTCAGTGCTTCTTCCCCCTTGCACATTGTGTTCCAGTGGAATGGGGATAGCCTTTGCAATGCGTAGTTGCTAACAGGCCTGGTGAGAGAAATCTCATCCACGGTCTCTGTCCCAAAACCTTGACAGTTTTACTACATGTTTGTTACAGTAACTAAGTGTGGGAGAGAAGACTGGTGTGTATCTCCTTCTCCACCCACCAACCTAGGGTTGCCAGGCATCCGGTTTTCGACCGGAACACCAGTTGAAAAGGGACTTGGCGGTTCCGATCAGCACCACTGACCAGGCCATTAAAAGTGCGGTTGGCAGCGCAACGGGGTTAAGGCAGGCTCCCTGCCTGCCCTGGCTCTGCGCGGCTCCCAGAAGTGACCGGCATGTCCCTGTGGCTCCTCAGCACAGGGGCGATCAGGGAAGCTGCCCCTGCCCCGAACACTGGCTCCGCAGTTCTCATTGGCTGGGGACCACGACCAATGGGAGCTGCGGGGGTGGCGCCTGCGGGGGTGGGCAGTGCACACCATGCAGAGCTGCTTGGCAGCGCCTCTGCCTAGGGGCTGAACATGATGGCTGCTTCGGGGAGCAGTGTGGAGCCATGGTGGGCAGGGAGCCTGCATTACCCACGCTGCACTGCTGACTGGGAGCCATCTGAGGTAAGCGCTGCCTGGATGGAGCCCACAGCCCGAACCTCCTGCCCCAGGTCAGAATCCCCTCCTGCACCCTAACTCCCTCACAGACCCCGCACTCCACCCCACATAGGGGTGATGTATATCTTAGCTAATTGTGTTCTGGATTTCAGATATTTAAATCTGTTACCCTTCCTCCCTCCCACCTCAGCTCATGTGGAGGGACAGGTAGAGGGGCCCAGACACCCCACCAGGATCAGGGTTCCCAGATCCCAAGACCCACAGCAGGCAGGGTGCAGAGCAGGGCTCCCTCAGATCCCAGCACACATACAGAAGGGAAGCCCCCTGCCCCCAACTTCCTCCACTACTCCCTATTGCTCCTGTCTTTTCACCTCCCCCATCACACATTCCCATGTATCCCGCTCCTCTGCCACCTATCACCACCTACTCTTCCACCCCTCCCCTCCCAGGGAGTATTTGCATTTATAATTGATTTGCTTTTCAAATATAGCTTCATCCTCTCCTGAATATTCTGCTGTACTCGATTAAATTTCTCCAGAAACATCACAAAACTTGAGAGGCAGCTTTTCCCCAA